CAGAGAGCGGAGATGTGTCCCCTTTGTGATGTAATATGACGCGTTTGACGTATGACCTTAAAAAAAAGCAGTTTTTAAGAGCAGAGCTCAAAATTGCTCCTTTCCCTCTGAATTCCTGCCCTTATGTCTCGTAAAACATATCAAATGCTACATTCACTTTTTTTAATTGTAATTTTCAAGCAAGTTTAAGCATAAATGTAGAATAAATAAAAACCTGCAAGATGCTCTTTAAAGCAGGAGAGATAAAACTAAAAGTCACACACTGCATGATCCCTGTATTTATGTTTAGTGTAAACAGCGTCATAAGGAAATGGCACAGGTCATAAGAGTGTAAATGAATCCTGGAGGCAGTATTGTTGACAAACAGGTTTACGTCTATTCGTCAATCTTATCACTGACTCGATCACTGCCGTTAGTGAGGAGCCTCAGGTCTCAGAAAAAGTGAGAGGTGTGGAGAGAGAGACAGATAGACCTGTAGCCATTAGACACTGACACAGACGGTGATTGTGAAATGACATATTCTGCTGCAGGCTAGAAGTACTTTTTTGTGCTTCATTTCTTCCAAGTTGAATCACTTTGTCATTACTGTGGAGTGTATGTTGTTTGCACTTAATACCATGTCATTAAGGTCTCAAACCAGTAAATCAGACAGCACAGTGGCATAGAAAGAACACTTAAAATGTGCATACAAATTTACAAAATTGATCTATGCAGCTTCATTTAAATGTTAAACCAGGAGCAGGTGTGGACAGGGGTTAAGGAGGAGGAGCATGAGGAGGAAGAAGCTTCATGGTGGCAGCCCAGAAACAGTTTTCAAACCAGACCACAGTCTGTTCTGGGCAGGATAGACATTACACCACTGAGAAAAGTACCAGCCTGCCCCTGAACGCACACCCACATGATTCTTTTAGCTCTGTGTGAGACCAAAGAGGACAGAGGGACTCTCCATGCTCGCTGCCTTCTTTCAGTTTGACTTATTTACAGTCGGCTGCGGTGGTTTCTGGTCATGTTTAATGTATTTAGACTTCATTATTATTTTAATAGCTGAGCCAGAGTAGTACATGTTGTTTTTGTTAGGGACGTAAAAAGAGAAAGAGACAAGTTATCTAAAAAGGAGCCCGGACAGGGAAGGTCGACAGCCATGTTGGATGCTTTGGGTTTAAAGGTTATACAAGCTTTAGGCTCTGTTTTTGTGGATTTGAGTTACAGAATAAGACTAAGGGGCATGTTGGTGGTTTTGTTGGGGGTCTTGTCCGAAGGTCATGTTTGGCTTCAGTTGACTTTCGGGGGTAATGTCTAATGTGATGCTCTTATTAGCCGCAGGGTCATGGATTTGACTCGGCCTGATCCATTCACTCATCACACTCAGCAAAAGCCTGACTTAGCTCAACAATGGCCAGTGTTCAGATCCACACACACACACACACACCAATACACACCTTAGCCTACACTCCCTGCCAAGCATCAGACATAACATGTACGAACTTGATATTTTCTTGTGTTAACCATTAACCTCCTCAAGTACACACTCTTTTCCTACAAACCAAACATGTCCCTCTCCTTGCAACGCAGTAGGAAGTCATTCCTCCAGACAAAGGGGAGTGTAAACATCCAAATGTCATTACTTTCAATGTTTCTGCAAGTCAGGATTATTTCCAAATTCCTGGTCAGCTTGAAAAGGCCAGGCGAGGCGTTTCAGGTCTCGGAGCAGAAGGAGGGAGAAAGAGAGGGAGAAAGAGAGGGAGAAGGAGGGACAGAAGGAGGGACAGAAGGAGGGAGAAAGAGAGGGAGAAAGAGAGGGAGAAGGAGGGACAGAAAGATCAGAGCTTTGTCTCTCAGGTTGTTTTTGTACGACACGGATTTGCCTCATTACACACACTGATCGGACCGAGGAGGGGTGATCACGCAGAACTAACACCAAAAAACAATGTTCACATACAGAAGTGTACGGTGGCCAACCAAAAAGAGCTCAACACACAGAGACTCGAGGAAAGACATGCAAAAAGACAAAACAAAAGAAAATGACGAAAACCCACAAACCAAATATAGGAAAATAACAAAAATACAACAACGCTGCCAGATGCACTGAACACAACAGAAATAAGTTACAAAACAACACGTTTCCTGGTATTTTGAAACTAATTTCCATTGTGTTCGGTGTGACTTGCAGCATTTATTTATTTCCATGTGATTTGAGTTGTGTCCTGTTTGTGCAACATGTTTCTGTATTGTGTTGTTTTTCAGAATTTGGTTGTGTTTTCCATATTTGCAGCACATTTCTATATTTTTGTATTTGTTTTGTATTGTTCATCTTGACTATTCTAAAGTACTTTTTTGCTGAGGCTATTTCCTTCACCTTCTTGCCTTTTGTCTATTTGCAAGTGTTTCCTTAAAGGTGGGGTAGGTCATTTTGGAGAAACCAGCTCGAGTGCGCTAGAATTTGAAAATACACAGCCGGAAAAAATCTGCCACTTCCTTACAGAGCCCCTCCTCCAACACACACGAACGCGCACATGACCAATGAGGGCACGAGATAAGTTTGTGCACAGATGGAAGGCTGACAGGCAGGTAGGCCATCCAGTTACTTTAGCCGGGCCGGCTCAGATGATTGGTCGTGCTTTTTACAGTACTACGGCTTCCACAGATGACATTTTTTTATGGATTTTTTGTCAAAGCACTTCAGATATTCATGCTATCGGGATGTTAAGAGCATTCCATGGAATATAACAAAAAGTGTATCTCGAGCCGGTTTCTCAAACTTACCTACCCCACCTTTAAGTTGCAATATTTAGAGCTTTCCGGGCCCCTGCAGAAACACATTAGTTCTTCCAGCAACCAGTAAACTGTGCATTACTTCAACATCCACAAATACAGCTCACACACAGAGTATGAGAGCCTGTGTGTGGACCATAACACCGCTGACAGATGAAACACAGGTGATCCGTGGGGAGTCTGGGTAAATATTTGCGTAAAGGCTGTCACACCCTCTTCCTCTGCAGGAAGCAGCATGGGCGAAGGGATTATTGGAGCAATGTTTCAGGACTGGCTCACATATGAGGGTGATAATAATAGATGGGACGGTGCTGCCCTGTCTTTTCCTCAGTATAGGTAAACTGTCATGTTAAAAGCTCTTTTCACACAGATACAATCAGTGCAATCCATCTTCTGTGCGCTCACTGGAACTGTCATTAAAGGAGTGAAGAAAGGCTAAATGCACGAGTCTCTTTCCAAAGTACTGGTGAAGAATTAGCTGTCCATGTAAGTGAGGTCTTCCAGGGCTGGGTGGTCTGCTTCTCTAATGGCAATAGCGGGTCTGCAGAGTCAAGGCAGTAGAGGGTTATTAAGTACAGCTCATAAGCTCTGTTCAGTGTTTTTCTAACCTACATTTGACATTCTTAACTCAGAGCTAAATCCCCCTACCTTTCTCTCTCTATCTCATTCTCTCTCCCCCTCTCCCTCACCTCAGTGCCCTGCGGAGGGGAGGAAAGGAAGATCAGGAAAGGGTGGGACTTCGATCAGGGGTGAAAGGCCAAAACCTCAACATCTAAACCTCACTCCCATTACTTATCCTGTCTCTTGGGAATAGGGGTTTCCTGCACTCTTTTGACAACAGCCATGGACCTCTTCAACCCCAAATAAAAAAACACACACACACACACACACACACACACACACACACACACACACACACACACACACACACACACACACACACACACACACACACACACACACACAGCCGTGAACTCATAGCCTACAGTGGGGAAGGAAGCACTGTTAAGTGGGAGGAGATGGGAAAAGGTCCAACACACTCATGCTCACATAACCACATGCACAAAAAAAACACAAATGTTTGGTGATTTTACACCAAATCAATCAAAATTAAGCTGCAGAATGCACATGCAAAACACACATCACATGTGCGCACCACATTTGAGCAGAGAGGATTTGAATTTTTGGTTTCACATAGAAACAAAAAGAGCAGAGCACAGGAACAAAGGGGAGGGGAAGAGAAAGGAGAGCAACCTTTGATACAAACCACTACACCCAATCTTCAACAAAGCCACTAAAGCACTGGCTTCAGGCTATGTGTATCCTTGCAGTTCAAAGCCAAACTCACAAAAAGAGCTTATTTATCTGAGTGTGTGCATACAGTATTGTGTGTGTGTTTTTGAATGTGTGCCTGTGCCTGCAGCACAAAGGCAGCGGTGTCGTGTAACCCGGCCAAACCCCGCCTGCGAGCGCAGGTGACCTTATTGTATTTGGAGGTTCCCAGCAGGCAACGGGCTGTGTGTGTCACGTGTGGGAGGAAAACCACAAACACACAAAGGATGTGTGTTATCTGGTGATTTAAAGCCCCATATGGCTCCTGCGGGCCCAAACTGGGTCAGCATAGGGAATCACTTTAGATCAAAAGCAGAACTTCAAAAGTTGTATGGCCCCTATATCAATGTCTGCCTCCATTTAACATATTATTGTGTTGGAGTATCCCTCACCTCTACAATGCTTCGCAGGTCCTGGACGTAGGTTTTCTCAGTGTCCAGAATTTCCTGCACCACCCGGTCCACATACGTCCTGGGTCCCTGCACCTGACCTTTCCCCTCTCCTCCATCGGGGCTCACCTCCGGCCCTGAATGTTCTGTCAGAGTCTGTCCACCGCTCTGCCCCCTCCCCGTGTCCACCCCTCCATCATTTCTGTCTTCTCCCTCCTGGCATCCCAGCTGCCGGGCCGGGACCAGCTCTAACCGGATCGCCCCGGAGTCCCGGTCGGAGGTCGCGGGGTTACAGTGAGGGGCGGGGACGAGGGTGGAGCGGCTGCCCAGCGAGCAGTGACTGTCCCGGGAGGAAGCGGACGAAGAGGTGGAGCTGTAGCTGATCGGCCTCTCGGCGCTGTCCAGAGAGGAATCCATGCTGAGGGCGGAGCAGTAGCGCAGCGAGGCGTGGCGGAAGGCCGGGTTGCCGAGGCAACGGGCCGGAATGCTCAGGGCTGAGCCGGAGTCCGGAACTTCAGGAAGAGGAGGCAGCGCATCAGGCAGGTAGTTATAATCATCTAGAGAGGAAAACAAGAGAAAGGAAGGGATGCTCGTTAATCAACTTCCTTTCAAACATGTCAATAGCCTTTGGTGTGTCTAGATTTCAGATTTTAGTTCATGCTTGATGATAAGGGCTATTTCATATCAATGGCACACCCTAGCTTCCTCATTTAATATCACTTGTTAGTCTGGACAGGGCTCCAGCTCAGGTTGTGCTGCAATGCAAATATCAAGGGCATTGGCCAAATCAATGGAATGTCTAGTGGTGTTTACCTTGTAGCAATGGTTTAATTTACTGGTTACTTTTCAAGCATTCAGATGAGGGAGAAAAAGATTGTTTGTTGCCTTGAGAACATTCCACAGTTGCTCAATCCAGACACAATGTTGCTTCACAATGGTTGTCTTGGTTTGTATTTCCCTCTCTGTCTGTGCTAACCTGTAGCAACACACCCACACCAATGCAGACCCTTGAGTTGTTGTGCTGTGTTGCTATTGTTAGTCGGATTGTCCCTTACACAATGGCGCTGCCTTTCACATTTTTAAATACATGGTTGTCATATTCATCATGACGCCTGGGTATAATTACTGCAAAAAATAAAACAGCGGTCTAGACAATCGCCATCTAATACATGCCAACAGAATTGCTAGTGGTTCTAAATAAATGGTTGCATACAGAAACATGTTGTTGGTTGTCACAATGGCGTTGGACCTTTCCCATCTAACTTTGCAAGACACCGAGTCTTTGATATTTAGGCTTTAATAGCTGACGCTACTTTTTGGATTTTCCTTCGTGCTATAGAGATACATACATAAACTTGCACAAAAGACACCATTTACGCAGAGACTCTCAATTTGGATCAAAAGAAAAGTAAGAACAAAATTCAGACAAGCATTATTTGCCATAAATCGAAGAAAGCAGAAGCACTGTAATTATCAAGTACATTGACGAGGAGAATAATTACATATGAAGTGTAATTGCTGAAAGTCCGAAATCTAAGTTGATTACAGTAATTATTTGATTCGAGATGAATGTCCTTTTGATTTACTGATGCTGGTCACACGCAGAGCCGTTCTAATTCAAATTCAATTCACACATTCAAATTTGACAGGCACTGACCTTGTATTTCCACAACTCACACTAAGTGCTAAAAAGACTCCCTGTATGTAACTTCTTACAGTTACAATACTGTTTTCATATTCTCACAGTCTCTATCTGTTTAGCCTCCCAATTCCTGACATTCCGGCTGACCACAGCCTGCCTGACCGCCCGCCATACAACGACCACCAGCCCTCCATGATTTATCCTCAGTTCCACCCAAAAACACATTTCTTAATACAAACACAACATACGCGTCTGAATAATGTATTAATGTGAGTAAATGTCTGTGAGAATTTATGCAGCAAGACAGAAAAAGATTGAGTTCAATTACAAGATTAGGAGTGTAATCCTGAGAAGCCTCCACTCCTAGGCAATGAATGAAAGCCCTATTTCCATGGAGGAGAGACAGGTTTGTGTGTGTGCAAGTACAGTGGTCCATTTTGCGTCAGGCCGGTGCCAAACTGGCTCACAACCTTGTCTCTGTGAAGAGATCCGTTAAGATACGATTACTGGCTCCCAAGACCCCACAGCTAGGCCAGCCGAAGTGGAACCACACATGCAGAGTATCAGACAGAAGCCTTCCAAGTTTCCCCTTAACTTTTTCCAAGGTCTCGCTCCACAGAAAGGCCAGCTTTGACGGGAAAAGCATGATGCAAATAAACAGAGCGGACAAGCAAGAGAAGAACGACATTAGAGGGCCTCATACCAGCTCAGTGGGCGTTTGACACTAGTCTTTATCATCAAAGCTTGATACACCGGTGACCCGGCAGCTCTGGTGTTGTGGCAACATTGAGATCCAATGCCCTATAGGACAGCGTCTCTCTCTCTCTGCCAGCAGCACCGGTTCAGCCTTAACCCGCCTCACTTCAAAGCATCGAAGATCACAGACTCGAAAACATGAAACGTGAAACTTAGAACAAGCTCAAAGAATCTCGCTCTCTCTCTCACCTTTCAAATAGGTGCCTTGGAGGTCTTTTTGGTATGGTGACACCTCTTTTGAGAGCACTTTAGCAGAAGGCTCGCTTGTTAGACTGGTCTGTGATGGAAAGATAACAGGTTTGATTCTGGCAAACATGAATGTACTGTTACCAAGTTAAGAAAATAAACCCGCTTGTTCCTGTTCTGGCTGGAACTTTATTTATCCAAGTTTTTGCTTTGGCTACTTCGGGAAGTAGTACAAGCTTAAAACAAAAATATCTGACACATTATGTCAATGATTGTATTGGCACATGGAGCTTTAGAGTTAGCAATTGTTTGTAGTTATGTTTCGGACTCACTGATAACTCTAAAAGGAATAGATTTTGGGGGAAATTATACTTGTTTTCTTACTTCTGAGTTTGACGAGAAGTTTGCAACCACTGTTGTGTGTGTTTAGCATAGAGCTAGCCACAGGAGGATTAGCTTAGCATGAAGACTGGACATGCCATTATGTACAGGAAGTTAACCTTAATGCTGGTAATATTTCCTAGGTATCCATTGAGCTGTAGAGGTTCTGGTAGTAATATTTTTAAACTTTGGTTTGGAGGAAGGCTAGCTGTTTCTCTCTGCTTTCTGTCTCTAGGCTTAAGCTAGACTTAGCATCGAGCCACTTATCTCATCACATGTGAACGGGAATATTTTCCAACATGTTGAATTATTCTTCAGAGTATAACATTCACTCCCCTTTTTAGTTTTGTATTACTCCCATACCAATTCCCGAAGAAAATATCTGGCTTTCTAGCAGCTAAACGCTACATTTCCTTCACTAGCTAGTTGCTAATACTGTCTGTTTGCTGTTTGATGCTGGCAGGTGGCAAACACTTGGTTTATCAGAGCTTTACTGGTGAAAGCAAGGTTGATAAGAGGGTATAGGCAAACAAAAACAACTAGCGAAATATGCAAAACAAGATCTGTTAAGCTGCAAGTTTGGTGACAATATTGTGTCGTTTGTCCCTAAAACTGGTAGGCTACACTTAACAAAGACAGTAATCTGATCCATAGCTAAACATTGATTAATGCAACTTTAATTCCAAAAAGCAAACATAGCAGGTCGCCGTAATGTCTGTTACTCTAAACTGAACCATTGCATACATGTTTTTAGCAGAAATATAAAATGTAATTCCTTGTTACATAGTTAGTAGAAGGAAACTTAAGTGTTTTTAAATCTACGTCTCAAAAACAAGAAAAAAGTCTGATGTGCTGAATCACAGCTTTCTGTAGTTTAATTTTGATCAAACACCGTTCCAAGAAAAGCAGGGAGGAATTGGAGGGTCTAAAAACTGAAGTAATGAAACTGTACTTTCCCTAGAGAAGTTTGGAACGGATTCAACGGGCATGTGTCCATCTTAATGTTTCTGACCCACTTAACAATAATTAGAGATCAGAAATAAGGAGCAATCGACACACATAAAGCCTTAGCTTTTGGATGAGCAACACACTCCTTTCAAGTTACCGTACACAACACAAAGCACAAAGGGTTAAATGATATTGCACACCATGACATTAATAGGTAACTGACCATTTGCGTTGCCCTTTGACAAATCAATAATATATCTTCCTTATCACCCTAAGCGATATATATAAATCTATACCATGTGTATGTTTCTCACCAAAAGCATTAGGTTTATCACTCTGGAGATAACGCTAACTCAGCTAATAACTTAATGGTCCCCACAACAGATTGGCCACGAAATGGGCGGAAACAAGTGAGCACACTTGTAACGTGCACACACACACTTAGAAGGAAAGCAAATACAGAGGAACCGTGTTTCTGTTTGACGAGAAACCCAAACAGCACAGAGAGAGATTGCCCCATCTTGTGTTTGCCCGGCCCCTCCTTCCTCCTTCCAGCTTCATGTTTGGGGCACACCCTGGCCGTTTCCTGGGTGAACTAGCTCTTGTACACACACAGACAACCGGCACCCCCACCCAGCTCCTCCACACACACACACACACACACACACACACACACACACACACACACACACACACACACACACACACACACACACACACACACACACACACACAGAGCAAAGATGGCCAAGCTTTAGTTACCTCCTGTCCAGATTATGTTCAACCTGATCCTTGTAAATGATCTCTAATTATGCTCCTGAGCATGCAGGTTGGACTGTTTCACTTCTGTGTGTTTGTGTTTGTGTGTGTCCGTGCATGCAGGGATTAGGATAGTGTGTGAGCGCTTTTTCCTGCCAGGCTAGAGAGAGTGAATCAGCGTGTGCCTCAACAACCTGGCTTCAATCTGTGGTTTTCATTTAAATTGAAAAAAGACAAAGTGCTGGGGCGCTTTATTATTCAGCCAAAGTTTAATAAGCTGAACTTCAGGCCTGTCTGAAAGGCACACAGCGAGGAACCAGACTGAAGACAGAACATGTACACAGAGGGTATTAAACACTGTCACATGTAGTCTTAAGGTTATAAAGAAACACAACGCTTCTTATTCATTTTAAGATCAACATGTTCCTGTTACTGTTTTTATGTCTGTTTCTATTTCTACATAACATGAGACATTAGACTGCCATCTTAAATAAAATAGCTTGAATACTCAAATACTTTACTTTATATTCAGCAGCTCATGTGGTTTTCATCAAATGTATTCTCTTTTTCTTTCCATTTCCGGAAGCATTTTTAGAGATGAGGACAACTGTGTCTAGTATAATGCAGTGATCTCGCAACAGGAAACACTACAGATTATCGGATGCATAAGAACACAAAATAACGTAAGAGTGAAAGTGAAAGGTCGAAAGTTCTGGACCTTGAAAATATAATACATGACCAAATAATCCCACAAAAGCTCAAAGGCCTTGTAAAAGAAGTAACTACAAAAAAGTACTGCTCGTTTTTAAATATCGTACCCTTCTTAACTAAGGTCGTCAATATTAAATGGAAAGGGCACCGGAACTGATATTAAACTTTAATTTTGAGTCATTCTTACGAAGATACCAATAAATCCAACAATGAATCAATGTGTGCTGATTTCCATTGCTACACAAGCGTGTATTTGACAATGTGCTTCAACTGATAACTTGTCTTCATTGATGCAGACAGTCCTCACTACCAGTGAGTATCAGGTTTAACGACTCATGCTACACTTAACCCGACCACTTCAGTCGCACTCTTATGGTCACCTGAAGTGCCCTTTATGCTGGAGTGGTCAGCAAACAGCTGTGAGCACCCTCACCTCTTTACAGCCCTGATGACCCTCACAAGTAGATCAAACAGCTTTGTGAATGTTTGGTTATGTGAACATCCCATGTGGCTGGTTAAAGCACAAACAAGTTTGAATTATGTTTTAAAGGATTTCGTCATATAGAGCTGCACAAACATTCCTTTTGTTTATTTTAGATTGTGCGGTACCCTAAATTATTGGGTTGGACAATGCGTAAGCCAGTTTGATCCTTAAAGACTATATACAATTTAAAGAAAGTCTCCCCCAGCAATAAAACACAGTCCAAGGAAAATCAAAGAGGGGATTTGGTACTAAAAGGTCTAACTTTGGAAAATACCCCCTTGGTTTGGCTAGCGTTTCAAGCGTACATTAGATTTGGCTGAATCTTGGAAGTCATTTTTGCAGCGAGTGAGAACTGAGTCGTGCAAGGAAAGAATAGTTCAGGGTCCGTTTGGAGAGGAGGAGTGATTACATTGACCACTGAAGGGGCAGATACGCTTTAGATTAGGCAACGCAGACCATATCAACCACGGACTTGCATGCAGTTCTTCATTCCCTATCGTGGTTGTCTGCCTTTGGGTGTTGGCATGCACAGTCCTTGACACTGTTGACATTGAGAAAATCTAAAGATCCGGAGAGTCCAAAAGGAGGAAGCCGTAATTTAAGCTCTATTAACCCTTCCAATGTTATATAACTAGATTGGTGCATGAGAATGAATGCCACTAGAGCTTTCGTCTTCATACCTTCTGCACAATCCACAAATGGCCACCACAATACCTCAAATCTACTGTTTTTTTGCACAAATGATACTCACTGTACTTATGGTGTGTGCAGCCAGAAAGAGAGAGTAGGTTACTTTGGAGAATTAGAGATATGAACATAATCATTTACAACTTGACTGTCATGAGGAGAGCAGGACAAACGTCGATGTCAGTCAGCTTAAGACCGTCCCCTTTCTCACACATGCACTTCTTCTCATAAATTACAGTAAAATTGCGATTTGATTTCAATTGTATTCCTACCTTCCTGACATTCCTTTGTTTTCTTTTCCTATTATACATTCAAACTGAGAATATGTTCTGACAGGACATTGACTAACACCAAGTTTGTCTGTCATACGAGCTCCACAGGACATTCCTATGGGCTCAGACCGTGCCTCTCCAAGCATATACTTTACTATGTAAAAATACACATTGACCAGCAGCCTGTGTGTATATGGCTGTAGACCACCAGCGCTCATTTTTGAATTTGGAGCATAACATGTTTATTATAGAACTCCCTTTTCACACTCAAATTACTGAGTGTCATTTGAAGGCACAATCAAAGAAGATAACATGAAGGGCGTTGTGTCTCATTACTTTTAGATTACCGGGAACGTTTTTTTAACCTTTAAACTGCCTCAATTGAAAACTGAATGCATGATTTTTTAAATCTCAATTCAGGAAGCACGCAGGAAAGCCAACTCGTGACTTTTTCCGGATATTCAAATTCAAGCAAATGTGAAACATGAAAGAAAAAAAAGAGATTTTGTCTCTTGAAGTACAATGATAGACATTTTGCATGTAGGTACATTGTGGTATATGCTCTGTGACAAATGTGTACTCCCAAAAGTACAATACACAGTACACAGCAGCTCTCACGAGGGCACTAAGACCTTAAATACAACATCCCCAGGTACCCCGTTCGACTCATTTAGAAATGAACGCTTTAGTTAAATAACTAAAGCATTTGTCCCATAAAGGAGTCAGTAACTAGGCAGGACTTGACCGCACAGCTCGTACAGCTCATGGATCCTTTAATCGACCTTGTTTATCTTTGTGTGTTCTTGTTTACGTTGCGACAGGCCTTCCAGATGGCAAGAGAGTTCAATGCCAAGCAGCTTACAGTCCTAACATTTGACTAAATATTATTTTATGCAAGTACAAGTTGGAAGTTGTTTTTGTCTTCACTTTGGAAACCTTTTGGTAACACTTAAAGCTGCACATTTAACTTAAGGGGGAAACATAATGGAAAGAGGACATGTGAGAGAGTGAGAAATGAGGAGGAGAGGAACCCAGAGGAATGAAAGTAGGATGAGTAGATAGAGAAGAAAGGCCGGAGGTCAAACACCACCCACCCTTTTTTCTCTTTTCCATTTCCCACTCAATCCATCTCATTTTGAATTATGTCTTGCGTAGTACTTTAACCCTTAACAGTTTTCTCTATCTCAAACTCATTTATGTATTTCTCGCATCTTTAACGCATCAAATGCAAGAGAGTTTGAATTCCCGGCGGGCTCATCGGAGACACAGCAGCACAAAGGAGCACCTTACTTTGTGTTTAGTTATGGCCTCATATCTTCTGTCAGGTCCACTTAAAAGTCAGCGTCCGTTTCTGATAGAGACGCAGGCCTGATCTCAACTGACGCTAAGGACCTTAAAGTGTCACTCAGGATTTCACACCACAGCCGAACGACTGCAGAGGGGCCGAGAGCCGGAGCAGAGAGAGGGCAGAGGTGGGAGAGACGGAGAGAGAGGCGAAGGATGGGATTGGAGACGGGAGGCGTTTTCCACTGAGCAACTTATCACTGGAATAACAAAGAGCAGCTCTGGCGTGGACAGATATTATATCGCAGATGTCTCGGACGACGAGGGCGAAAAATGAAGAGAACATTCCTTCTTCACTGTGTTGGCGCAGAACAAGCTCCCACCATCTCAACGCAGAATTTCAAACATCTCGACGCACGTCATGACTGGTAAAGACATGAGTTTAAACTTGAGGTGCGACTTAATAGACTACTGTGGCTTTCATTGCCTCACAAAACACGGTTAAAGCAAACACACACACAGCTGGGAGGCTAATTAGTAACAAATGGCTTTTTTCTCGTGATAAAGTAAACAATTAAACAACCGCCAAGCACGGCTTCATGAACCCAACCCTTATCTTCAGGTTGGGGTTTATGAGAGGCTGGTTGAGTTTCTCTGTTTGTCATTGACACTGCAGACATCAGCGAGGAATGTGCAGCACAGTTTCATCTGACGGCACCGGTGTTTAGCAACTGTGGGAAAAAATGTCCACCTGCAAACTTCCACCCCCTATTTTCAGACCCTCACACCAAACCCTTGGGACACCACTGCGGATATGGCTGCACTGCACACACCCTTGCCCTCCCTCGGAGTGTGACACACTAGCCTCATTCTCTGACCCCTTTGGATCGCAGCCCAGAGAAATCTGCATCCACTTCAGTCACTTTCTGTGAAGTCCTGCAACTACACACATACTTTTGTTGACACTAAAGCACCAGATTGGAAAACTATTTATTGCTTTTTCCATATTAGACTACTCCAAAAAGGGACCCGACCTCCCACTCTGCACCCTGCTTTCCCCTGCAGCTCCTTGCACGGGGGGGGCAGATGTCCTCTCGGAGGACTGGGTTAGCAGGGTGGGAGGAGGGCGGAGGGGTCTATTGTCTCTGGCACCTCTAAACCAAAGAGTTTGCTCTAAGCAGTAATTATTCCCCCCTCCTCTTCACTCTTCTACTCTCCGCTATCCCCATTTGTTGCTACCCCCCCAACTGCTGCCCTCAAGGCTCTAATTTGGGTCACAGGCTTTAGAATGGCATCTCAACACTCAGTCAAACCTACACCAGCAAGGGGCAACTGACACATGCACTAACAGAGAAATGAGTCTCAGAAAGGCTATTTTATTGTTTATTTGTCAACGTGCCACACACATTAGATGCTTTTTGTCACATTTAACTAGATTCCTGAAATGCATGCATTTAAATGACATCTGCAACTACCAACAAAGTACTTTTTAAACCACCAGGAATGTGAAAGAACAGCAGAAATCTGTGTGCACCTTCATCTCGGCATCATTAAGAATCTGCCCCGCGAGAAAGCAAACATGCTTCATTCAACACAAGGGGTGAGAAAACAACCAGAAGACGCTGTTCATACAACTGTACTGCCGAGGGACGGACGCTGCAAAGACACTTCACACAGCGCTGTCAGATGAGGGAAGAAATATCACACACAACGCACAAAAGAGCCGCTAAAGCAAACAGCCAAACCATCAATGGCCAGTAACCGGACCTTGTGTTTATAAGTTACTGTCTGTAGTTTGACCAGATGTCACTTGAAAGATCCACTTTTTTTTGCCAATGCCACATATGATGTCTTATTTTGATCATCATTAGCTGCTTCCTTATTAGACCAAAGATAAAAGTGAAATAATATGTCATTCTACATTAATTTTATTCGGTTTATAGACATGCAAAACCTTGGGCTGCAAAATCTCGTCCCACCACATCAAAGAATCTCTCCACCTCCGGAGAAAAATCATGCTGGGAAACATCTTTGAGCATATCTGGAGAAAAGGAAAACTGCTTACCGGTAGGCATTGCTGATTGGTCCCAATTCAACAGTGTGAATTACTTTTTTAAACTGAGGTGAAGGTTTAAGGAAAAAAAGGTTTCCCAAGCAGGTCACATATCAAGAGTATTCCAAACAGTATTCCCAACAAAAGTTTGAAAAAAGTTCCCTTAGATTTCCAAAGTCATTTTGAACCCTTCTTTCCTTGGAGCAAACGTGCAGTCTGCTCCTCAAAAGTATACACAGGAGCATACACTCTCAGGTTTTTGTGCTGGACACACACACTCCAACACACTCCTCTGGCTGATGGCTATTCTGTCTCTCACTTTAGTTTGCTAAGGATCTCCTCTGTCTGAATGCCTCTCTCCCTCCCTCTCTCCTGTGGCAACACATCCACCGCCTGCATTTGTGCGTCTAAAAGTGTTCATGTGTGTGTTTGCAAGGGAGTGTGTGTGTGTGCGTGTGCGTGTGTGTGTGTGTGTGTCAGAGTGAATGGCCTCTGCTCTCGGCTGCTCCCTCCCTGCTGGGTATTCCCCTCCCCTTGACTCCTCCTCCCTCTCTCCCACAGCAAATTACAAGGAGCTGGGACTTCTTCTTCTCCTTTTTTCCTGTCTTTCCTTCCCTTCTTTTATCTTTTCCTCTTCTATTTCTGCCTCTTCCTCTCTCTTTCCAAATTAAAACCTGCTTACACCTTTTGTGTGTGTGCGTCTGCTGCACGCTCAGCAGGCAGCTGAACTGCTGCTGTTATCGCACGGCTCCAGAGATCACACACGTACACACACTTTACAAGGAGGAGAGGG